AAAAAAAAAAAGAGAAAAAAAGAAAAAAAAGAAACCAATGACTTGCTGTGAATTGGAATTGTGATTTAAGTGGGTGCACTTTGACTTCGTGGCTTGGAATTAAAGTCATTTTCGATGGGTTATCAACCAATTTAATAAATTGGCTGAAGAAAGAGGGTGAACCCAAAGATATTGTTCTAAAATACTTTTGGCAGATGGAATTTCCTTTTGGAATTGTAGGTGGCTTGTTGAATTTTTTTTTTAATATATATTTGAAATTAGTGAAGATTTCTGGTTATAGGAATGTTATTGATTTTTTAAAAATTTTGATTACAAATGTAATTATTATATTAATTAATACATTAAAATTAATCAAATTAATTGTAAATTAACGCATTCAATATTAAAGTATTGTTGCAAGTAATAACTTAACTAACTTTAAGAAGAGCTAGTCAACATTTTTCTTTTCAGAGGAAAAGAACACTGACTGAGCTAGTGCTGAAGATTCTAATTCTGATACTAGACAGAATAACTGGACAGACAATTTACTGAGGGCCTTTGCTCATTGGACAAGAGGCATCTGCCAGGCAACTCGTTCTCAAGAACTTTTATGGGAAAGGAAGAGTTATTGGCCTTTTATTTCGTTTTCAAGGAATTATTAAACAGTTATCTTATGAGAAATCAATTAATGAGGCCTTTTTTTTATTTTTTTTATTTAGTTTGGATGCTCAGGTAACAAATCCATGCAACTTTGATCCTCTCCTCGGGGTGCATTTGGATGCAACTGTAGCTGTAGCTCCGGTGAGATGCAGTTGGCATCCAAAAGCTATCCTTTGTTATCCAAATGATGCATCGGTAAAGCATGTTTTGGTTAATTCAACCGTGCCACCTTTTATTCTTTCACTGAACTTTTTAAAGTTTTGTTGAAATTTGTTTTTCCAACGGAAAATTTTCTTCTAATTTTATTTTTAATTTTTTTCCTTTTTACCCTTAAAAATATAATACAATAACAAATAATAAAACTAATCCTTATATACCATATTCTATGATCGACTATATGAAAAATCAAATAAGAAAATTAGTAGTCTTTTGGATTCTACCGGACCTCTGGTGTGGTACGATTAAGCTCATCGTACTTTCAGTTGAATTCAAATGTCAACTAAAGTGAGGTCAAGTCAATGTAAATTTTTTATTAAATTATTTTTAATCGTAGATACAGTAATTTTTTTTTCAATCGTAATTACAGTAAATTTTATTATTATTTTTAATCTTACCACAATCAATCTTAACACACATCCAAATAGAGCCTTAAATTAAGTTATAATTTGAATATTTTTGCGTTATTCATTTCTATCAATAATCACATTTTCATATAATTTCTTAACTATCATCTCATTTTTTATTATTTATATTCATATCTTTCGTAATTTACTTCTAAATGTTTTGATCACTTCTAAATCTAAAGACTTAATTTTCATAATTGGTGTACAACTAGACTTAAGTTTTACATTTTCAAACTATTGCAAACAATCCTCTCTTATTTTCTCTTCAATTCGAACTATTTTTAATTTTTTTAAATCTTTTTATTTTAATTTTGTTTTTTTAGTCTTATTACACATTCATTTAACCATCCTTATCTCCATTACATTCATTTCCTTCTCATGTTGTTTCTTAATAGTCCAACATTCAATTTCATACAATAATATAAATCTTACAGATATTTTATATAACTTTGCTTTTAATTTTAAAAATATGTTACGATTACACAAAACACTCAACGCATTTCATTACCTCACCTAATCCTTAAAAATATAGTGTTAGGATAAAATTTTTCCTAAAACTTAGTTTTTGCTTTTTGCTTTTTTTTTTTTACTTTTTTATTCAAAAAATTTTAATTATAATAAACTAAGAAATAAACATCTTTATAATTAAATAATTAATTAAAATAAATAAGTGTATAAATAATAAAATAAATAAACATACTAATTTTTATTACATAAAAATTTTAATATAATATCTTTATTTTTTTTATTACAATTTATTTCGTCGAACTAACTATATTTATCTAACCATATATTTTATCATTAATTTTAATTTCATCTTTACAATAACTAATTTAACCATTATAATAATTAATCTTATGTTAACAAATATTTTCAATTCCATCTAACTCATCCAAATAATTCATAATAAAAAAGTTTCAACAACCATTAGGAAAGCCAATTCTGAGCACCCTGGAACCTGCAGCCACTCGTGAGTGTGTTACGAGTCGAAATTGCAAGCTGGAAGGAGTTGGGCTTGATGAGCCCTTGAAGTTAGCTGGGGTCCAGTCTAGTCCAATAAATAATAATTAGTTTAAAAGTCTGTTTAAGGTTAGAATTAGTGTCTGTTGCTATTAATTTCTGGACTAGTTACGTTTGTTGCAGAGTCATGTTGAGCTGGAATAATATAAGGGATGTCACAATGGTTGTATGGCATATATATGATTACTGAATACAATTCTGATAATGGAATTGAACCTATAGATTTCTTCCTATTCTTTCTTCATCCTCTACTTTTTCTACTCCCTCCCTCTTAATTGCTTTTTGCATACTGCAGAAGCTAATCCCTCGTCTCTGTTCTATTTAGCTCATATCAGAGTGACATTAAGCACTACAGAAAGAGATATTGAACTTCAGGTTTGGTTTGACGAAATAAATACCTTCTCCAAGAGAAGGGTACTGAAACTTGCTAAAGCAGCAGCTAACACCACAAGCCCACAACCCAGGCCTTTGTGTTAGCCTATTTCCACTTTGTTTTTTTCTAGTGTTAGCGTCCTTTGTCTCTCTACTCGAGCGGATGCAAATATTGATGTGAGAAAAATAAGAAAATTTGAAAAATTTTTTTGGATATTTTTAAATTTTTTAAAATTGTTTTGGATTTATTAAAATTTTTTATTTTTCGTTAAATGATTATTTAATTTTATTATTAAAAATATATATTTGATAATATTAGTAATATTAGTAATGATGGAATTATATTTTTTTAAAATATGAGAATTTATCATGAATAATTATAATAATATAATAATATATATTTTAATTTTTAATTTTTTTTACATATTATGAATAAACACCAAAAAAAAAAAATCTTAGATTCGTTATTGTTTGTACTAATGCTTATATTTTTTTGTAAAAGAAGTTGTAATATGAGAATTTAAAAAAATTATAAATATTAAGTTTTAAAATTTATTGTATATTATTTTTTTAAATAACCGAATTACTACATAAATTAATTAAATTAACTCTAGATTTAACCTTTATGTTTTTCTAATATATTTGTTTCGATACCCAAAAAAAGTCCTCCCCAGTCCTCTGATCGTGGGGGCTTGAAGTTTCAATATGGGCTTAACAAACCTAGTCCGTCGAATAAACAGCGGCCTTATGTTTCAAACATATTGCTTCACAACTGGCCCGCACCCAAGATTATGGGCTGATTTCTAGGCCCTGAAATTCTTACAATTTTTTTTTTAAGACAAACCAATTAAAAGCTTCATGTTAATGTTGCTAAACAAATATGAAATACTTTGTAAATTATTCGTTCTTCTTGTACAGCTTAGACTGTTGCAAAAGAATAGTTTCTCGAAGTGTTCAAAATAATAATGTATTTATTGGCCTTATTATGTAAACTAAGAAATAATGATGAAGAGCAAGGGGCTTTTGAAGGTTCTAAATGTAAGATTTGAATCGTGTTAAATATGAATGAATATATGTATGTAGTTTATTTATTTATTTTTAAAAGTATTTAAATTTAATTTATGTTTGATCAAAAAGTTGTTATGTTCATTCAAGTTTTAAATAATATGGTACGTGCATTCAATTTGATTAAATTAAATAAATTTATTTACGAATATTAAATAAATATATTCATAAATATATAAATAAATATATTCATGAATAATAAATAAACTATTATCAAATAAATTTAAATACATAAATCCTAAATGAATATAAATAAATCTTAAAATAAGATTAAAAATAAATGATAAAAATATAATTATATTATTATTATTATAAATGAATACTAAAAAACAAGTTTTAAACGAATCTTAAACAAATTTGTTTGCAAATGTAATAAATCAAATAGATTTTATTTTTATTTAATTTGTTTAATAAACGAATATAAAAATACTGTTCAAAATCGCTTATTAAGCTTAATAAATAAATACAAATGAATAGAAAATACACATCTTCACTAATGACAAATGACTCATCAAAAGCTTTATTCGTTTAAGTCCCTAAGAATGTGAGTGACTTTGTACATTAAGGATAAATATTATAAAATATGTATTTGAATTCAAAACTTAACTCAATTAACTTATATAATTATTTTTAAAAAATAATAATCAATAAATTTAAAATTTAAATCTCAATACTTATAATTTTTTTTTATTTTCTTGCTACAACTTCCTTTCTACCAAAAAGATATCTATTTAATAATAGTATGTTAATTTTAGAAGTACGTGTCCACAAAGTTGTGACATTTTTGCATTTCATCACGGGTGATGAGAGAGTGATTTTACAGGCTAAAATACTAAAAAGATCTTTCTCGGCAACAAAAAAAAATTAAAAAAAAATCTTTATCATTTTACTTAAAAATAAATTTTTATATTTTTTATTTATATTTTTAAGCAAATATTTATTTCATTTATATTAAGAGATTATTGAAGTATAAATTAAAAATTAAGAGTTTATTTGAATATAAATTAAAATTTAAAAATTTATTTAGATATAAAGTAAAAATTAAAAATTTATTTAGATATAATAAAATATAAAATTTATCTAAATAAAATAATAAAATTCAAAATTTTTTTTTTTTATTTTAGCCTGCTCTGTAAGATGTGTTTAATGCAAAACTTATTTCAGGCTTGGTTTGCTTTTGATTAGATAGCACACAAGTGGACTTTACAACCGAAGTATTGGGCATTAATTGTTCTGTCATATGGTCCCAGTAGCTGTAATTTGGATCCACTGCATTTTCTCTCGAACATTTATTCCAAGAAAGTACTACTGCCTAGCCATAACTGCCAAAGCAAGCAGATCGGCAGCTCTTAACTTGAGCAAAAAAGGAGGTAACTCTATCACAAGAATTGGAAACAATAGTATCCATGGAAAATAGTAGAGATGGCCAAGTTCACCAGCTACATGGGAAGGATTATGTAGACCCTCCACCGGCTCGCTTGTTGGACATGGAAGAGCTTAAGAGCTGGTCCTTTTACAGAGCTCTTCTTGCTGAGTTCGTTGCTACCCTTTTATTCCTTTACATCTTAGTTGCCACCGTTATCGGTCACCAAAGGCAAGCACATCCCTGTGATGGTGTTGGTCCTCTCGGTATTGCTTGGGCTGTCGGTGGCATGATCTTCGTTCTCGTCTATTGCACCGCCGGAATCTCAGGTAATCAAAAAACTTCAGCTCCACTGAAACTTTGGTTTTGTCTTTTGTATTTATTTTCCTATCCCTAGCTATTGGGTATTCATTTGCATGGTTAAACTAGTCAGAGAATGAACCAAGCTACTCTAAGAAGTAGAGGACATATTGACTTGTCATAGGCGAAGCTTTTTCTTTTTTTGATCTCTTCTGGCTAAGAAAATTGATATACTATGATTAAATTGGTTTCAATGAAAACATGAAGGTGGATCAAATGTTAACTCGTTGTTATAACAGGTGGTCACATTAATCCGGCTGTTACGTTGGGGTTGTTCATGGCCAGGAAGATTTCATTGGTTCGAGCGGTATCCTACATGGTTGCGCAGTGTTTGGGAGCTATTTGTGGCGCAGGTTTAGCGAAAACCATCATGAGGCACTACTACAATAATACACCAGGGGGCGGTGCCAACACCGTGGCTCCTGGGTACTCAAAAGGCACCGCTTTGGGAGCTGAGATCATTGGCACTTTCGTCCTTGTCTACACCGTTTTCTCTGCCACCGATCCCAAAAGAAATGCACGTGATTCCTATGTCCCTGTGAGTATTATAGTAGCAGACAGGACCAGTACACAAGACCACTCAATATGATTCGTATTTAAGAAAAGCTACTCTTTATTAGCTTTTTCTGCTGTTTTTCTGAAGCTTTTATGACTTAAACTTTTCTGATACCGGTGCCATTTAGGTGTTGGCTCCCTTGCCAATAGGATTTGCTGTGTTTGTGGTGCACCTGGCCACCATTCCCATTACTGGAACTGGCATAAACCCGGCTAGGAGCATTGGTGCCGCCGTGATCTACGACAATGAAAAAGTCTGGGATGATCAGGTATATAGTTAATTAATTTCACTTTTACCATATTATTATAGTGATAAATTCGATTAGTGGCAGATTTCCTTGGCCATTTTGGTATTGATGGTTTGATATTAACTTTTGAGGGTTATTTTTGTATATTGGTGGTGGTGATGTAAAACAGTGGATATTTTGGGTTGGCCCTTTCATTGGAGCGCTTGCCGCAGCAGCATATCATCAATACATACTGAGAGCTACGGCCATCAAAGCTTTGAAATCCTTCCGCAGCAACCCTACAAATTAAAGGCCAGTGGACCCTGGCTCCTATATATGCTGTCTATGTATGTTTCTTTTGGAAAATTTATATCCTTCTGTGTGTGTTTTCTCAGTGTCAACACTTGTTAATTGTAGTTGTAACATTAAGTGAATCTTAATAAAGGTTTAAAAAAAAGTGAGTGGAAATATGAATGCCAGGCTTATGTAATTAATGCGTCAAGATCGGCATGCTGAACATTCCTATACGTATTTTGTTTTATATGCCTTGTATTCGCACAGAAGGGGCTACCAGCTGTCTTGGGAAACTCATTTTCTTGCTTTAGAAGACAGCATTTCTATGCAGGCACCCCGCAGATTCCCCTTTCAATTGTCTTAATCTAGGGACCTTACTATTTAACAATATAGTATGAATATATATATATATATATATGTGTCTGTACGCGCGCATGCTTGTATATGTGGTAAAAGGTAGCAACGAAATTAACGTTGGACGATGACGAGAAATAACACATTCTCCGTTGACAAAAAGTGTGAAAATAGCAACCATTCAGTATAAATTCATAATAGGTACAAGGTTAAGGTGAAAATGCAATGCTTTTGGATGCACAAAGAGGGAGCTCCCAGATAACTTACCGACACCGACCAAGGTCAATTGATAAAAGAGGGAAGAGGACAAGGAGGAAAACCCCGTATATGGCTTATACCAAAACCACACTATTACATCTTGCTAGGTACTCAGCTTGCATTTTAAATGCATCCGATCCAGTAACAGAAGCAGCCCTTTGATAATGTGTAGCATGTCAACCGCCCACCAAATAAGTGTTGACTCAATTGGTCAAAACTCTTCCTCCTCAGAATAAAAAGTTTTGAATTTAAGTTTTATTAATGATCATTTGTTAAGATCATATTAAATGTATGATTTACATTTATTTATTTTTTGTCATATATAATATATTTATTTTTGATTTAAAGACTGAACAATTTATTTATCTTAAATTTCTCTTAAAAAAAATTTTCAACCACCCCACGAGAATTTAGATGCTACTTTCTCAAACAAAGTAGAGCTGTATTTGTATGTAAGAGTAGATAGTAGAGGATCAGGAATGGATGCTTAGAGGCAGGTCCATGAACCATTTACAACTCTGTCAGCCAGTCAAATTCATTTTCACATGTTTCGAATAGGAGTAAAATAGAGCTTTATTTAAAGAACCCACCTAACACTGCCCAAGTTTTCCACATAATTAAACAGTTGAGCATTAGAGTGCGTAGGAAAGCCCCTCAGGGGCTACGTATCTTGGACCCTTTCTACCATTCAACAACCTTAGAACAGGTCTTTCCCTCAGATTTACAGGTGGGCATAGTTGGGCTCCTACTCATACCAGCTACAGCTGTTTCTCTGAAAGAGCACAATGCTATTTTCACGGATATTGTCAAAAAGCTGCCCCACCCCCTCCCCCCCACAACACAAAATATTCCTCCCTCCAAGATCACCGCTACTTAAAAATCTTGCCCTCTCAGCTGTTGTGAAAAAGTTCTATGTACGTACTCATTGCTTCAACGAGATACAGATCCTAAATTCTACTTGTAACATTATTATCAATCTGGCACTTCTAGATTTTTTTTTTTTTTGCCTCAGAATATGCCAAGATCAATCATTCATGGATAATGCCAATTCTGCCATTCCAAACTCTTGTAATCTTACCAGACTAGTACTTCCATATATAAGCAAATCAATTAGTAAAGCTTAAACAAAATAAATGGAGACCACTAAAGCCTAGGAGAAAACTGGCATTTGCAACACAGTTGAGTTCAATCTCAAAGATTATACATTTTATAATGGTAAAAGTAGGACCGGACATGGGATGAACTCAGCCAGTAGATTTGCATCCACATGCTTGGAATGGATGGCTTCCATGCTTATAACCACTAGATCCAAATTTAGGTCGTCAGCAACTTCACCAATGATAGCAGTAGGCTTGCTTCCTTCCCCAAGTCGCTCCAGCAACTTGAATTCCTGAAACCCACCTGTTGCTTTTCACACCAGTTAGCACCTGGTTAGAAAGCTACATTTAAAAAAAAAAAAAAGAAAAATGGTAACTAGCACAGTACACCTTAATTTCATGTATATATTGTACTTTTAAATCAGAACATTTTTGTAGCACATCCATGCGATACACAAAGAATATGGTCAAATATATTTGTACCAAATATCGATTCTAATTAATTTCTGATGAAAATTCCTAGGAAGCAAGACCAAGAAAATGCCCAACGGACCATTTCTCCATTAGTACATGTAAGCAATACCATGCATGGTGAATTTTCCATTGGCCCTGAGCCATGGCTGTAGGCACAGCAATATCAAACCAATGTAAGATACATATATGTAAGCAATTATTTACATATTCCAAATTTTCTATAGTGAATTTTTGCAAAATTTAAGATTTCATAGAATACATGCCTTGAGACAGATGCCAACGAATGCTAGCCAGTTGAGCTTCATGCTCTGGCAACGCCTCTTTCTGTTTTTCATCAATAACTGCAACGTACATAGAGTACTTGGTTCTTGAAATCTTTGCTTTAATTATGTTCTATAACAATACATGCAAAATGGTACGGACAGAGAACAGTGCACATACCCACAACAGTAATGTCAGCCCCATTCTTCTTTGCCAAAGCAGCAGTAGTTGCAGCTGCCTGCTTAAAAATTTAAGAATTTAACCAAAGGGTGACGAGCCAAATGCAGACAAGGGTTTGGGCATCTTAAAGAAGCACCATTTTTTTTTCCTCTTTTAAAGAATTTAGATTGGGGTGTTTACGAAGGTCACCTGTCTTGTTCCTTCTGAAAGATAAGGATTTGTGTCCGTTATTGGTAGTAGCAGATGTTTGAAATGAGTAAATGCATCTGCTGCCACATTCACTTCAGAATTTTGAGGTTCAGCCTTGGCTGTTCACAATTAGACCAAAAACACAGAAAATATCAAAATTGTAGCTTGCAATAACAACTATAGTCAGCCTAAATTTTCCATTAAATTCAACATAATTTGTTCCCAGTAAACCATTTTTTCCGTGTCAATTCAAATTCCATAAACTCAAGAACACTAAACCCAACACTGCAATAAATATGAAAATCATAGCAGTAGTAAAACACGTTACCTTTGTGTCTGATTCTGTTAATTCTGGGAAAAATTGAGAGATTTCGGGCTTTAGACAAGAGAGGAAAAGGAGAAGAAGAAGATGATGATGAGGAAGTGAAAGCTAACGAAGACAGAGACTCCATAGAAGAAGGGAGAAATGAAGTTTTTGCGTGCTTGGACGTATCAATTGGAACCGCAACCAAATAATGAGCAAAAGCCATCAGAATCAGTGAACTGACAAAGAAAGAAAGAAGAGCAGTGACCCGATTGACGATTCGGGAAAGTTGCAGAAAGCAAACTTCTAAGTTCGTAATATAAAACAATAGAATAATAAAAATCGGATAAAAGAGACAGAAGATAATGATTGCATGCGTGCAACGTGTACTGAGATCTGTGAGTTCATTTTACGCGTGGGCCATTCTCAATCATGACCGTTAATCTTTGTTGTCTAAAGCTTCTACGTTGTCGCGTTGGGCCGTTGGCGATTTAAGACGCAACGTTTCGGAAGAGTTTATATATCATACCTTCTTTAAATCGATAAATAGGAGCCGATATGAGAAGAAACGACGACGATGACGACGACAGCGGAGATGGAGAAGGCGAGGAGCTTACCGATGAGAAAATGGCGACTATATCTCGTCACTCTTTCTTCGATTCGGAGAAAATCGCCTTCTCTATATCGATAATTGAGGTAGTATATTTTTCTTAAAAGGAGAAGGCTTTTAGAGTATATATTTATTTTTTATTTTTTATTTTTAAAATTTGTTTACAATAATCAGAATATGAAAGAAGACTATGGGTTGTTCGTGTGGCCTTGTAGTATCGTCTTGGCTGAGTATGTTTGGCAACGGAGATTGCGCTTTTCCGGGAATAGTGTAGTCGAGGTATTTTTCCCCATTAATTCCAGTTTTAAGCTTTGAGTTTCTTCGAATGTTGATATTTGTTTTTTGCAGCTTGGTGCCGGAACTTGCTTACCTGGATTGGTAGCTGCCAAAGTCGGCTCCAATGTTACCCTTACTGATGATGCAAATAGATCGGAGGTAGTGTTTACTTATTAGTTACTGGCAAACATATTGTCATGGGAGAAATTTGTCCTTTTTTTTTCTAGCTTTAAAAGCTTAATGGAAATTAATTTTGATTATATCCCTTTAACGGCGTGTGTTGAGCACTTGCTTGTCTCTGTCATAAAAGATCCTTAGTTATTACAAATTGATATCAAAGATCCTTGATTGTCACAAATTGAAAACGTTTGACCTTAATTTGGTACAAATTAAAGGTTTGATACCAAAGGTTTGGTCCTAAATCGAGCATTTAGCCTTATAAATTATATTTTACTTAGTGTTGATTTTGATATATATGCAGGTGCTGGACAACATGGAAAAAGTGTGTGATCTAAATAAACTGAAGTGTAAAGTAAACTGTCTTCACAATAATTTTTTATTTTGCTTGCTTGAATGCTGTCTTACTTTTTCGGCCTGGTGTCCATGTCAATTTCATTTTCATGGATTTAAATTTTGCTTTTCAGGTTTTAGGACTAACATGGGGAGTTTGGGATGTAGCCATATTTAGTTTACATCCAAAAATTATTCTTGGCGCTGATGTCCTTTATGATGCGCGTGGTAAAACTTCTTGATAATTTTCTAGATATTTGGCTTTTTCTTTTAGCTAATCAATTAACTTAAGCTGAAACGAAAATGAAACTTGTGTTCATAAGCCTTTGATGACCTCTTTGCTACTGTGGCATTTCTGCTCCAAAGGAACCCAGGCTCAGTTTTCATAACAACTTATCATAATCGAAGGTACTATTCTATATTCCATCTCATTTGGGTTCTGATATATTTTTGTCTATAGTTTCTAAAACACTAATCGGAAATTATGGTGGGGAATTTTGTCGTGTTCTCCAAAATCAAGTTCTTATAAGTGTTTCTGCTGAGAAATAATGTGCAGTGGCCATCATCTTATTGAGTTCCTAATGGTCAAATGGGGACTCAAGTGTGTGAAGCTTCTTGATGGTTTTTCGTTATTGCCATCTGATAAGGCAGCTAGGCTTAGTGGAAACATTCAATTAGCAGAAATTGTGTTGAATCACTAGCAGATTGAGGTAATGAACAACATTAGATTAGCTTGCAGAAGTTTTTTATGCAGCCATTCTGATGTGCATTCTTACTTCCGACTGCTGCAGGAAACTTCTTGCACTGGTGCCAGATGATTATGTGGTTTAATTCACTTATATATGTGTTGATTTATACTGCTCTTAGTAGCAGAAATGAACCATGCCTGCATAGACAAACTCAAGTTTAGTAAGATTGTAACATTGTAAAATTGTTGAAAATTAATTCGATTTATGTTTATTGTTAGTTAGAAAATGGCTTGCGAGATGTAGCTTGCCAGTTTTACTCTGGATATGTCAACAACTCGTTTTGATGCATATAGCCAGTTTTACTTTTGCATTAGATAAGGTCGAAGTCTCTTGTTTCTGTTCATCTATATTTCATCAATGAAAGTCCCATCTTTAAAGTAGGCTTTGCATGTCAAGGACCTTTTAGGTCAAGCTGGCTTTTTTCGTTTGATGATCTAAATTGTTTAGAATTATGTTGGGCCTGAAGATGCTAGAAGAGGGAACTATTTAATCTTTTTTGTGCTTTCCTAGATTATTCTTTCAGTAGCATGTTATTGAACTATTTGTAGCTCAAACATGAAAGTGTTTGGAAGTAGAGCAGTGAGTAGCTTCTTATTTAATAGTTTACTTATTCACTCAGAAGGCGAGTATGTTGTTCTCACAGCAGGACGCGGTCCAGCCTAAACTGGGCAAATGAAGTATAGTAAACCTAAAGCTAGTTTCTTAAGATCTCTATAAAGCCTCAACTTATCACAATAACGTAGTTGTGCTTCTTTAGCTATAAATTCTAGAGACAGTTTCTCTTGGTCTCCATTGAGGCTACTCATTTTGATCATAGAGTTACAAAAGCCTTATCTAAAGTTTGCTTTTAACTGGCAAACTTGTATATCAAATTTTTGGTTTCCTCGGATTTGTGAGAAGAGCTTGGTCAGAAGAAAACAGGGTTTTGCCATGAAGGATCAACTTGTAGTAGGTGTTATCAAAAGTTGTTGAAGAAGGAACCATTGTTGCTCCAGCATTCTTTGCCTTGTTATTGATCGGCAAACACTCCTTAAGCTTTGCTGCAAATGTACGAGGGATGCATTGTAGGGGTCGATGTCGTGCGTTGCATTCAAGTAGCGGATTCTATTCTCAAAGGACGAACATAGCATACAATTTGTGATGCCCATAGGCTATGTAGGTTGGGTTGGGTTCAGGTAAACATTATTGAGTTGATACTATTTGACAACCTATGCAGTGTGACCGGAAGTTTTAAACTTTACAAACAATAGTAGAATATTGATGCATGTATAACATAATGATATAAATATATCTTAATCTGAAAATTAAAAAAAATTACATATATCAAGATTTAAATTTTGAATTTATTAAAATTGTAAAAATTAAAAATGCTAAACTTTAAGTCTCTACATTTAAACCTCGAACTTGCATATGTAAAACAGAATATTTTTGAAAGGGTACGCAACTCCAAATTTTATAACTTAGAAATGTAAGAAATGCTATAATCAATGTCTCTTGTAAATCGGAACATATTTACAACACCGTGTAATTATGCCACTAGAGAAAAAAGAAAATAAGGAAGCTAAAAATGCTCTCCTCCTGTGTATCCAAAACAAGCCCTACGGTACAGAGTTGGGATGGGGGAGCTCTGAAGTAAAGAATGATTAAATTAAGGCAAAAAATGGAATGACAGCAATTGTGAGTGCAAACGACAAAGTTTTCATCCGAGGTGATTGGTTTGACAAGGGTGGCGATCCCCCTGGAAAGTCAGAATTTTGACCGTTCCCTGCTGTGGCTTCAGGATCCACAGCAGTAGCTGGAGGGACCGCCATTGGTGGCTCCACTGGTAAAGTGTTGGAAGTCTCAATATCATAACCTGTAGAAATGAGATCTTATTGTTAGAGATTTAAGATATCAATTGGATTGCATAAAACGCGCAGGAAACAGAAGGAGAAGTTACTCACAGTTGGATGCTTTCCATCCCAGTACCATCTTCTCACGATCAAAGACTATACGGTAACCAGTCATGAAATTTTCTGGATTGAATTTGATAAAAATGTAAGAAGCAATCAAGCATTCACTGAATACCTAGAAGAAAAACACTGACTCAATGCACCCAGAAACTAATGGCATGTCAGGCTTCAATTAAGTCCAGATACAACTAGAGGAGCTACATTATTTTATAGACAACGAGATTTAGCAACAGTGGACCCTATTGTCACTCCGGTGTTTGTAAGATACAAGATCAATGCATCTTCCAATCTTCGTAGACTTAACACTTTGTATATTCATGTTATGTAAAATATTAATAATTTGTGTATTTATATTGTGTTTTATATAAAAATCATGGACCATAATTTGTGTAGCTATGGAAAACAGAAAACCCATATATGATTTTTATTGAAATTTCAAATCATAGCACTTTCCGATATTATTTTATATGGCTTTCATGTTGCGTTTCTGAAGCTATATATTCTCTTCACACTAAATGTTCACCGTTCTCAGTTCCACCTAGAAAAGGTAAATTAATTATCAAATGAAAGTGTAAGTTCAGTGACACACTAGGCCAAATTTTCAACTTGATGAGAAATAACAGAATCATCATTATAATCATTGTGAAGTAAGCTCCAAAAATAAGTAAAGTTAATTGTGTCGGGGGATACTTACGTCCAATGATATTCACATTGTCACTTTTCACAACAGCCAAACAATATACATTCCCACGCTGGAGATCAAAAAGAAAAGATTAATTTCAACATAAGCCAAGGGGCAGGATTGACATCTGATAAAATTAAAATGAACGTTTACCCGTGAGGAAACCACCACTATTGGTTCCGTAACAAAAAATGGATCTCCACCTTTCATTGTCAGATTCACTACAGGGAACTGAAAGCTGGTTTGATTTGCACTGTAAGGTAAAAGAAGTCAGTGCCTGAGGCCTCGGACTATGAAGGATAAAGGCTTTAAATAAATAGATTACCTTAGGTCATAACAGTATTCAAAGGGAAGGTCGGAAGAATTAGACATATGCCGCTTCTCTATGGCTAAGTTGTTGAACTGCCAAATAACATTATGATAAATACTTATGAAAAAAATATATATCCAGTAAACAGCAGGATACATGCGATTTAAACTACTTACGCTCTCAGAAATAAGTGTATATGCTGGGTCATTCAAATAGGTAAATGAGGTACCGGAGTCAAAAATTGCATTGAAATCAAGATTCTCAGCGTTTCCTCCCACGTTTATTTGAGTGATACTGACATTGTAAGTGGGGCTGAAAATGAATATCAGGAAGAAAAGCGTCAGTAAAACCAACTAAAAGAAACAAGTATCAGAAACAGTGTGTTTGGCCGGATCTTAAACTAACAAGTTTGTTATCATCATTAATTCAATCAGAAAAGTAACCACTTACTGTGATTGCCTGAGATTAAATGGTGTTTCTCCTTGATCTGAGCTGCCACTATCACCAAAAGTGATTCTTCCAACCCCATCATTTCCAAAACACATAGAAAAAGAATTCGAAGCAATATTTTTTTTTGCTAATATGCTAGGAACAGATATGTTATCCATACCAAGCCCAAAAAGACCATTAGGAGCTGCACCATCAAATCCAGTCTGAATCTGCCCACAACTGCAATAGAAGAGTACCACATCAAACTCCTAGTCCTACAACAAGTAAAAAATTCCCAAACAGATATGCCAATAACAATGTGAAGAAGCAATATTAAGGAAAGAGGATACAAGTGACCTAGATTTTTCATGAATAATCATTTTTAAGAAACCTCACTGACCACACCCCTCTCTCTCTAAAATTCTGCAAAATAAATTCTCCAAAAAAAAAAAGTTCTGGTGGATGATTTTTCACCCAACTTGCAGCAGCGTACCCCGAGAATCATATTATTTTACTTAGACTTGAAAAAAACTATGGGATTCAAAAATTAGCAGTGCAAATCATGTTGGTCACAGTTACATATCATTCGCTGGTGCTATTTTCCAAGACAGAAAAGTGGAAATACCGGCATTTACAATAATGTTTCTTAATGGCAAAGCAACCAAAAGGTACAAACCCGAAAGTAATGTTGGCTTCAATAGCTTTGGTTTTAACATCATCTGTAGTTAAGTGCAAGACATCCTCGACCAAGATCCCAGTAGATGAGGTGCCATTGGACAGATAGAGAACTTGATAAGGACAATCACTTTGAGGTGAAGAACATTTGTTTTGTTGTTTACACATGGCGCTGTTACAGGAAACCTTGGAACTTGTAGTTGACGTATTAGGGCTATAGATATTAAATTCTAATAACTGCAACAAAAATTACAAAAGATACCATCAAAATGGTTGTTCATGCATCAATAATATATTAAACCAGAAGGGAGGGAAAAAAATATACATTGGCAGTCGCAGGTCAAAATAGGGGTCAAGAAACGAAAAGGCCAAATTTCTAATAAACTAGATATAAACTGAGGAAAGCTTCACAGGATTTTGAAAATGAAGAAGTGGAGTAATTAAAGCATAAAACTTCAGAGAATAAAAGGATTACCTGATTATCGGCAATCCTTATGCCTTTCACACAACTGGTACAATCGCATGGCAACCAGAAGAGATCGCTGCCGGTGTCTAATGCCACCAAAAATGACAAAGCTGGCGTCCCTACTGATACATTGGCGTAATGTAAGCTGCAATTCTCAAATTTTGGAAAAACCATTACTTCACAACTCAATCCTAGAGCAAGAAGAAAATTCTGGAGAATTAAAAAAAGAAAAAAAAGAATGGCAGAGTGAGAGAGAATAGTTGGAGGAAATTTTGAAGGAAAGGGAAGCTCAAAGTCTCAAACAAGCATTTAAAAAACACAAAAAAATTTGAGATATACAAATTGAGAAGCTTTCTGCATAATATAACTCATCATCACGAGTTGTGAAGAAGGAAAAAGTTTTTTTTTTTCACCTTTTCTTCCCAATTCTATTTCCTTCGTCATTTTCCACCAACCAAACATAGTCCAAACCTCCTAAACAATTAAGCTGAACACTAAAACAAAAGAAAACAACCCACTTTTTTTCTCACCAAACAAACGGAACAAAAATGAAAAAAAAAAAAACTAAAAAGAAAAAGTTTCTTGAAAAAAAAAAAAGTGAAAGTAAAGTCTACGGATTTTCAAAAATTCACTTCCAATAATTGTTGAACTATTACAAAAGCAAAAAAAAAAAAAAAACATAATTATCCAACAAAAATACTTTCTTTAAAAATCATAGAAAAATGTGAAATTCATAAAAGCAAAAAAGAAGTTGGATTGAGGTGGCAAGAAATCATACAATCCCAAGAAATCCAATTGATAAGTCTCGTTCCCACCGAAAAACGTAACAGGCGTCTGATCATTAGCCGTTGCCAATCGACGGCCCTTAATTATTTTATCACGGTGGACCATAGCACTATAATACTCCGGACTTCCTTTCACCGGCAACTCATTAACGGGCAGTATTTCCTTAACCGGATCCGAATACCTATGATGCATATCAAACCCGAAAGTTTGAAACCCATAACAACTTCCCGCGCTAAACCCCAAAACCACTAACAATAACACACAACTGTAACTACTAAACTCATTCATGTCTCAGCTTTTCCTTTCCTCTAATTCTGCCCTGCAAAAAAAAATCTTTTTCTTCCACAAAAAATGTGGAAAAAAAGTTGTTGTTTGGTGTTTCGGCCTTTAGGGGTTAAACTTAAGAAAAACGAAACCTTTGAGAGAAATGGAGTGACATTTTCGGGTTTGGTTGGTGTTTTGAAGAAAAATTTGCAAGGCAAAAGTCAAATGAAACAGCGGTCGTTTGGTCCTCAAGAGTGGTCGGAAAGTGGGTCCCATGCAAAGTATGTATATTTACTATTAATTAAATTATTACAATTATTTTCCTCTTTTGTTGTCGGGAAACACCTTCTATTTTGGAGATTTTTCGTTTGTATACCTGATTCTTTTCTCTTTTTAATATTCAAGCCCTAGAATCTTTTCAGTGTAAATGAATGGAATAAAATACGAACAAATTTTATTATATTCGTAATTTATTTATTTAATCAATAAATTTAAAATATTTTTTGTGATTATTTATTTTAATTTTAATAAATATAAATAAAAAAATAAAATTTGTTCACGAATTGTTTATTAAATATTGTGTTAATTTATATCTTGGGGTATAAATAAATTAAACATAAATTAATTTTATATATTCATAATATATTCATTTAATTAATGAATTTTAAAATATTATTTATTTATTAAATTTAATAAATAAAAACTAAATATATTTATAAATTATTCATTAAATGTTTTATTCATTTATATCTTATAAATTTATTTAGATACCTTTAATTGGTATCCAAATTTTGTACTGCTCTGTAAATATTTTTCCCTTTTAAAGAAATTGTTATTGGATATGGCTTAGCTAAGAAATCCCTAAGCTATTAGCTAATATTTTTTCTACTTGATTATAATTTATGATTTTTTTTTTGCTTTTTTTATTTTACATGTATGCTTATATTAATTTTTTTATTAAAAAATTTAAGATAGAAAAAATGATTATAAAATTTAGATTTAAATTTTAAATTTATGAATATCATTATTTAATATAAACTAATTTTATTAAATTTCAAATTTTATATTTATTCTAATTTGTGTAAGTATAGATTCTTTAATTATCTTGTATGTTTAAATTATTCATGCATGATATATTATGAATCAGGCCTAGTCGTTTTTTTTAATTATTTATCCAAGAAAGTGATAAGCCAAAAACCTAACTAAATTTTTTATTGATAAAAAAAAGAATAGTAATAATAATTATTATTATTTTACATTAGTCATCTAGCTCTTGTTCCGGCCAAAAAAATTAGCTCTTGTTTGGTTACGCTTTGAAGATTTTTGAAATCTTTGACTTAAAATTTTTCCTTTAATTATCCAATCAGAGTGTAGTATCATTTAAGAAATTATGTACTTTCTCATCATCAGTAAGTTATACATTATATATATTCTAATGAAAGGTCTATATCATATTTACTTTATTAAGAAACTTGTGTTGAAATTCTTTGGCTAATGAGATGTTGAAATCAATTCATATTTAAAACAACTTACCTTCTGTTTAAAATAAATAAATAAAATTATCTTTAACTTGTACACAATAAATTAGTTTCTTAATAGAACTAAATGTAATTAGTTAAGGGCTAATATTCATTAATCAATAGTCATTAATCAAGTAAAGAAAACAATTTCATGTATTTGGTATTTTAGTTTTTTTGCTATTTGTCTAATGTTTTTAATTTATTTCATATTTTTTGCTTTTCATTTTTATTATAAAAAACCAACCAAAGGAAACTTAAATAATTTAACTTCAAAGAAAAAAAAAAAAAAGAAGACTTGCAAGATTCAATAATAGAAAATTTTGTTTAGTTGGGCAAGGGGCATAAAGAGAAAAGTGAAGAATCAAGGGGCGCAAGAGAAGGAAAAAAATTAAGAAGGCCATATTTGCAAAAAAAAAGGAAAATAGAGAAGGATGAAAAATGGGTAAGGGAGGGTTGGAGGTTAGTTGGTGGAAGTAACCGAGACGGAGGAAAGGGTGGGACGCCACGTTACAACTATTTTGCGCTGCAACGTGTACAACATTGTTCAATACTTGTCTCCACCTTAAATCTTACGTCCAACTTATAATAATAATAAAATATTTTATTATTACTCTCATTTTTCATCAACTCATCGTCCTTTTTTTCTCTTTCAATATTTTCCATTTTCCCTTCCAATCATCTAGTCAAGATCTTCATACATGTGGAACATTCTCAATCATGTGGCCGTAACCGTATCCACACTTCACACGGTCGCCTTCTAGTCGCTGCGCAACGTACGCCAGGGTGGGACCCACTACCCACTAAACGTGGCAGAAATATTTCGTTTGCCTTTTGTCATTTAATTACCGTAAAATAAGTCAAGTATAATTAAGACTATGGATTAAATGAAAATGTTGACTTTAACGGAGCCATTGAATTGATAAAAATTACATATTTTATTTATAAAATTTAAGTTTAAATTTTTATTATCAATAATTATTTTTAATGTAAACAAATAAAGTATGCAGGAAAAATATAAAACATTTTTAAGTGTAGATTGCAGTTTAATAATCTGTAATTAATTACTTTTTTTTTTTTTTAACTTTTCAAGTTTGAACATTTCAATGTTAGGGGACAAGAGGGAAAGTGGAAGGCAACATCCACGAAGCATGAATGGCTTTGTCAAAAAACACTGACGACAGCCAAGGTAAAGTTCATTATTTCATTTCCCATCCCAACAAGAAAAAGGAAAAAGAAAAGAATGGTTCAAGGTCGACGATAGCTTCGCAATTGCTCAACCAAATGCCTGGTTAATGGAAAAGAAAAAACAAAAAAAAAAGAAGACTTTGAATACTTTTGGTCGGTTAGAAGTCCAAACCATAGACAAGTAGTCAATCATGTATAAAATTTAAGTCACACGCAATCCTGTAAAGAAAACTTATTTGCAAAATATCGACTTTCCGAAGGTTCCTGCGAAGTAGAAAGTCTAGACCATGGCCGACCCCGACCCAGTTGAGTGATGACTTATAGAAATTCTATCAAGGTTTTTAACTTTTTTTTTTTTTCTACAAATAACACTGCAATTTAAGATAGAATAAAAAATTACAAATGTTAAAAATTAAGATTATATTTGATATATAAGATATGATAAGATAAGATAAAATAATATTATAAATAAAATTAAATTAAATAATATTATTTTATTTTATATTTAATGTATATAAAAATTTAGATAAAATAATTTATTTATTTATCAAATTTTTTTTTCAAAAAATATATAATTTAAATTATTGATATAATTTTTAAAAATATAATTAAATATATAAATTTAATTTATGAATTAAAAATAATATTTTTCACTTAAAGAGGATTAAATAATTTTATATCAAAAAAATTTTAATCCTCCTTACAATCCTTATCTTTTTTTTAAATAAAAATTTAAATATAATATAAAATAATTATCGTCATATCTTATCATTAATCTTATACATTAAATATAACCTAAATTTATTAAATTAAAAATAATTATATGTATCGATTAAATTAAAATTTCAATTATTAAATTTCTAATGTCCTTTTGCCGTGTTGATTCCTTTACCCCTCAATTCTGTCCATCTATTTGCTGATTTTAAGTTTATAATTTTGCTAGGTGTCAACTCTTATTTAAGTCAGCTTAATGGTGGCCCCTGAAATGCAAGAAAAGTCAAGGAGAAAGTTGCTCAGCAGAAAATTTGAAACTCAGATTGCAAAGTTTGAAAATTGAAACACAGTCGAACAAATTCATAGTTCAGTTCCAGAAAGCTTTTCCACCAAATCTGTATTGTGGCTATACATGAAAGAGAATCATGTCTCTGCCTGGGTGTTCAAAACACCACAATAATATAATGAACAAATGCCTATCCTTTGCTAAATGCTTAAAGGAAATGAAAAGATATGGACAATAAGCAATGATACAAACCCACGTAGAGCCTAACGAAGTGAGCGGATCATTTTTTACTAGCTTACCAATTTATCTAAAAACAAGAAGAAGATAGATGTATGAAAAGAATCATAAACCATGGCATAGGCTAGGGAAACTGGTAAAGGTATTTTCATTGCTATTTCTATGTGAAGATAAAAGGAGGGTATAGCTCAAAATTTGCTAAAGCAGGGAACTGCAACTGGCTTGAGAAAGTGGCCCAAGAAATGCCCTATAATAATAGAGGCAATATGGAGACAACTCCGAAGAAAGACAGAAGAGAAACATGGATATGGCAAGATTGCAAGGCAACTGAAGTGCAAGAATTGTTATTCCTGATATTTTTAGCTGATTTTGGAGTGGAATAATTATGGACTCCAGCAGCAAAGGCAGGAGGTGCAGAGGCAGTGTCATGATCTTAGAGAGAAGCCATGAATCCCACATCAGCTATGTACTAGAGTTGGTCTTGAAATATAAGAGTTCACATCACATTCAACTTGTGAAGTATCTTTTATGAGACAAAACTGTAAGGCCAGAGAAAAAATATGTTTACGAATAAAAGCGTCACTTACAATCAAACTTCTTCCAGCCCAAGACAAATCTTTCTCGGTTAAACACCACATGGTAGCCAGTCATAAAGTTTTCTGTTTAGAGGAAAGAACAGCCAAATAAGCAAACACATATCATGGAGAAATATAAGTTACTGTGGAGATGGTTTTGATTCATCATCTACAGTCTACAGAGAAGTGCATTAATGAGCCACATTAAATCAAACAATGTGAAATCACATTGCCTGATTCACCTATTGTCATTCTTTAATGCAGACAGCCAGGCAATAAAGGAACCAGATTCATATGCAGTAATTTTTCAGTGAGATTACAAGTGTAAGAACTCCACGAAAACAAGCAAATTGCGGTTTGTCTTTTAATCATTTCCAACTTAATAACATAGCAGTAGCACTCCATTAATCACATTCAATATGCAAGCCTTACGTCCAATAATATTCAGTTCTGTACTCTTGACGACAGCCAAGCGGTATACAAGTTTACCCTGCAAATAATTAGAGATCAAACTGTTTAATGCAATTTTCAGTGTTAAGAATAACGAAAAGAAAGAAAGAAAAAAGTCAGGATATTACCTGAGTGGAAATGACAATTATCAGGTCATACACAGGAAAGAGACTTCCACCTTTCATTTTTATACTCATACTAGGTATTAAACTAGCATTTGCATCAGGGCTGGATGCCACAAAGTAAAAAGATAAAATGTACAAAATTCAACCTAAGTGAAGAGAAAGAAGATACGAACAAGAGTAAGCAATGGACCTCATATCATAACAGTACTCAAAAGGGATCCTTGAATCAGGTGGACGGCGCCTGTCTTTTGCCTGAGAATGGAACTGTAAAAGAGCGTAAATTACTAAGTTGAGACATCATTTAAATGTAGGATCAAGTTTCATCGGATTTTAACACGTGAAGTACTTACATTCTCTGCAAGATTTGAATATGTTGGTTCAACCAAGTATGTGAATGAGGTCCCAGAGTCAAAAAGAGCTGTAAAATCACCACCAATTAAAGTTGTCCCCACCTGAATTTGAGTTATGGTAATGTTATAGGTCGGACTGCAAGATAAATCATGACTAGATGTTAAAGAATAACATAAAATGTTCCATCGGCAAATACATCTATCTAAAGATTAATAGATGATCAGCATCAAGTAAATGAGAAAATTACCACTTACACCTTTGTCTCCAAAACTGATCCTTCCAATTCCATCATGTCCAAAACACATGGAAAAAGAATCAGCTGTTAAACCTTCCTGTGATAAAATGCCAGGAACTGCTATCTTCTCCATGCCAAGCCCAAACAAACCATTGGGAGCTGCAACATCAAGGAATGAACCGCTTTGTACCTGCCCACAGCTGCACAATTCATATTGCATTGTCATCTTAACCTAGATAAGAGTTGGGAAACAAATAATGGCCTTTGCAGAGCCTTTCAAAAAAAGGAAGAACACCAGAATATGATATTCAACTGGATAAGCTGAATAATAAGAGAGCTCACCCAAATGTGACATATGCCTTAACCAATTCAGGATGACTATCTTCAGTTGTTAGGTGAAGAACATCCTCCATTAGAACCCCAAAAGTAGAAGTTTGAGCTGACATGTAAGAGACCATGTAAGGACAATTACTGAATGTTCTGACACACTGGTTACGGTGTGCGCACAAGCTGCTGTTGCAGGTGACCTTTTTGCTAGTTGATGATCCTTTAGGGTCATATATGCTAAGCTCAAAATCCTGCCACCAAAAAATGCATAGTTTAATATCAATACAAGGACAACTAGTGAAAGACGTGATCATCACACCTAGTAGGTTAACTAAGCCCCCACTCATACTTTTTCCCACTGATCCATTGTAGCGAAAAGTTGGACTGTTACAGCATCTATGGGGCAATTTAAACAAAATGAGATACAGTTTCTACTCTTAAATGTACTACTATGCTTCTTTGGACTACATATTTGACATCTAGAATGAACAAAGAAGGTTCTGAGTGCAAAATTTTGCTACAGACAGACAAATTCGAAACATAGCTGTATTTATGGGGACAAGTTGAAGTACATTCTTAGAGTTCCAAATGTATTAGCAACATGAAGAAAAGGCCAAGAAAACATAAAAATTTCATAATATAAAGGAAAAGAAAAAGAAGAAAACATACAGAAGCATAAGTCGTTCCTTCAATTGGAGCACATTTGGTACAATCACAGGGAACCCAGAAAAGATCGCTCCCTGTAACATGTGACACTATGAACTTCACCCCTGGAGTCCCCAATTGCACTGTTGTATAATGTAAACTACACCCAAGAAAAAAAATCGCAAACAAGATCATAAAAATAACAACTTTACCAACTAAACCCTATATTTAAAACTTCCCAGAAAATAAAAAAAATGGGGCAAAAAGATCCTTACAATCCTAAAGAGCTGATTCGGAAAGTGGAGTTGCCATCAGAGAAAGAAAGGGTTTCATTGATATCAGAGAGTTTACGGCCGCGGAGGAGGTGATCACGGTGAGCTAAAACGACGTACTATTCAAAAGAGCCTTTTACAGGCCAATGAGAGAGTTTTCCAGTGATGTTGGACCAGTTCTTGAGGGGTTCAGAAAAACGGCGGTGCATCTTGGAAGTGAAGATACGGCCATAGCTGAGCTTAAGGCTTAAGACCCAGATTGGCATCAAGACGAAAAAGATAGTCTTTAAAAAAGAGAACATTTTCTTTAATGGTTATTTTCAGGAGAATTCGAGTGGAGCTTATAAAAAGCTTTGCATTCGGAAAAAAAAAAAGAAAATTGAAATGGAAAACTTAAAAAAAAGAATGGATTTGAATCTTCGGCTGCTTTAGTTTTCCAAGAGGAAAATATTATTATTTTAGTAGCATTTGGTTTCTGTTAGGAGGATTTGAAGAAGTGTGCTTGTTGTTCTCGTTTGTTACAGTGGAAGTGAAACTGTAGCATGCAAGTGGACTGGGGACCTTTTCTTTTTATTGTATTGCCGTTAAGAAAGCAGAACCGTAGAAAGGACGGGTCTTTTTTTTTTTTTTTGAGTTTTGGGAAGATTTCATTTGTTGCGCAAATATATGATAATTCCTAAGAAAAGTTGTATGAGATGAAATAGTAATCCAACTTGAAACAGTTAAGAAATCGAAATCTGATGATGAAAATGTTTATGTACAATGGACATCTGAGTCCATATTTTCAACTTATGATATTTACAAACAAAAATCCACAATTAAATTAGAAAAAGACATAGTGGTACTAAAGTTTATCTACCAAAAAATCCCACAAAAAGATGCTTCCACTGCCGGAAAATCCATTTTTTTAGGCTGCTGCAGTGGACAATTTTCCATTAATGCTCAAACAGGAGAGGCAGAGGAGATGCCAAATTTATCTGAAAGCTTGGTTCGAGTGAAGGGTGACAGAAGCTCCATTTGATGAATGAAGTGGACGTCATGAACCAAGGGATTGCCTGTTCTCCCTGGAGGTGACCCTGCATAACAGGATGGCGAGCAGCCGGTGCAAGCTGATTCTCTTCCATCAATTGTCTAAGTGGGGAATTTATATGAAGCTATTAGAAATCGTCAAAATGTATAATTCCCATTTTAATTCTTTGAAAGAAATACTTTTAAGTATGAAATCCTAACCTTCTCAGCAATCATGTTCAGAGCTCCACTTCTCCCATCAGAATTGGGTTGGCTGATTACAGAGGAGAACAAATGAGTTAATATTTCAGAGGTTGGAAAAGTGACGGTTTCCTTAAACATAAATGTGATTCCAGGCATTTTCCAGAGCAATTGTGATTAACTTTATAAAGGAGCAGAAAATAACATCTTTAAAACATGTATAAACAAAAAGAAACAGTGACAAAAACATGGCTGGCAATGAAACCTGTGTTTGTTGCATTTGAGGGGCTTGAGAAACTCAGGAATGGCAGGTCCAATGCGGCGAGGTTTTGGGCAAAGGGGCTGCACATGACCTCCAAAGCCAAACTTGGTTGTCTCAGAATCTGAATCAAGAAGATTGCTTTTAACTGGTAAATGCTGCATAATTCTCTCTTCGGCCTTCCTCTCCAAAGAAAGAAGCAAATTTCGAAGTCACAAGCAAAAACACAGTAAATTTACTTGTGACTATTTTTTTTTATTAATCTCTCAATTCAAATGGCCATAAATAAAAACCATCCATTGATGTAAAGACAAGACACCCAGAGAGAGAGATTACTGATGAGTGGAGCCGCATTGGTTTGTAGACCTTGCTTGCACAAGTGAAGGAGAGATACCATTTGCGTTGCTTGGCTAAGAGTGGATATAGGACAGGTCTTAAAGACTCTTGACTAGTTGTCATTGATCTCCTAGTTTTCCTCTATTTCTCATTTTTGCCTACAAATAATTTCGTCCAAGTTTCCTCACGTGGAACTTTTCTCCTTCCATTACAGAATTTGTAGTTGATTGTTTCTCATATTTTCTCATTTTCTTTGATGCAAACTCGCAATGAATCCTCAAGTCACGTTTTGAGCATGGATTATTAGATTCTTTGGACCTTGTTTTCCGCTTGATATCTTTCTTTATTTAGTGACAAATATCGTTATAATGGTAATAAAATAAAATAAAATTGATGTCTGCTATAGGAATCACACTCTAAGAACAGCTGAGGCTGACATTTTCCCCCTATTTTCTCCTTCCCGCTTGAGAAAGAATGTTCAATTCGCACTCTGATTCACACCTTTCACTTTCTACATCAACAGGCTTCCATTTATGTTATTAGTTGTTGCAAGAGGCCAAATTGATATTTGTCCATTCCAAAAGGAAGTGAAGGGAACTAAAGATGGAATAGCAGAGGCAGAGCACAGTGTTGTTATAGTAGTAGTCTTCATGGATTGGTTCCTTTCCCACACGTAACCAAGCAGAACCTAACCAACAAATGTATGGTTGCGTTTCTCATCCCATACCTCCAAATTATCTTCAACCAAAAAAGGAAATTCGTACCAAGATGAGGTTAGGCAGCAGTAACACCCGAACTTGCAGCAACAATTATACTTGCAAGCGACTTTTTTCCAGTTAGGCATGCCTAGAAAGAGGAAGAGGAAACGACTCGACAACGATAAAAATCGCAGGTGATAGAACCCCACCCTCCTTCATCGACAGTTTTATTTATTACACGAGGTCAGAACATCTACAAAACAAATAGAGAACGGAACGGGCTACCATCTGAACCTATTCCAATTCCAGGCCACCATGGACTGGTAATGCTATGAATCTCCGGAACTAATTATATATCATGTGACATGACGAGAATACTTCTAATGGTTAAAGTTTTTTGCTGGAAAATGTAGAACGATGAACGAAGATATCTGAATATCCCTTCCAAATATTCAGACTTTCTATCAACCTTCGGTTGGAAGTTTGAGCGCTTGGAAAGTCAGCATAGATTAATCCCCTAGTACTTGAGCTGTTGGATTCACAGCTTGGAAACTGAATGAACTGATTGATGCGCATCAGCAGCATGAAGTTAAGCTCCCGTAAACGTGGTTGATTCTTGATTTTCCAATCCTTTCGATACATCATTGTTTTAACATGACATCTTTTCTCAACCTGATGGTTTTAAGAATCCATGAAACAATTTGCACTTGGGCAAAATGAGAGAGAATTACAAGCCATACGCTTTTAAAGATACCAACCCAGTTTGCAGTCAATTTAATGAGAGAACTCAAAACAACACACTAATACACAAGATTATACTGTCAATTTCCTTGTTCCAATTGAACAATCAATCATGAATTATATGTAAATGTGCAGGGTACTTTGAACTACATGGTTCAAAAACAAAAGAGCCAGGTACGCATATAAAAAAGCAGGTCAGTTACACACTCAGCCAGAACTTCAATCCATTACTTGACATGTTGAAGGTCCCATGAATCTATTTGCTCTCTACAGACTGAAATTTAAAACTTTCCGAAATTAACCCAGAAGAATCCAGATATGGTTTCCCCGCTTCAGCAGTTTACCTAACCCTAAATGTTTGTTAATCCAAACACACCAGGGAACTGAATAACAAATGCAGAACACTATTTGAAATTTCCAATTCATTATAACAAACAACATCGGATGACCTAAAATAATACATAATTAATCAACATGTGGCTACTAAATATAACTTGTTACATGTGTCTTAAACGAAGTGCAATCAATCAAGGACCCAAAAACCTGCCAACAACCGTTACATCTGAAGCTTTAATTTACAACTCCATGCTTAGGCAACCTGAGTTCTGATAGACATGCATCCTTCCTTATTGTAACTAAGATCCCAGGTTCAAAATTGTAACTAAGATCCCAGGTTCAAAATACAGTAATTACCTGGTATGAACTATGAAGATTGAATAGCCTCCATCATCCTGTTAAACAGTTTCCATCCAACTCGAGACAGGTATTTAAGTATTCATTCAGATAAAATATGCTCAGAAGCAATAACTAAAATGGAACTATATAGGCAAGACAGCATATAATTATGTTGGATTGAAGCATTGTAGGAGTTTGACACACACAAATGTTAGTTCATCGATATTGATTACCAAATGTCAACCACGATCTAGTTAGCCGTATTCTTGTAATCTAAACTAAAAACAAATAGCAAAAAGAAAAGACGGAAAAAATAAAGGAAATATAACACACACATGCACATTGCCACATTTAATAAAAACGACTTCATTAGAAAGCCATAGAGATGTGCTGAACAAATCGTGAATTAATTAATTGGTGGAAGTGTCAATTCCTTAATCATAAACTATATGTATCCCAATCAAATCTGGGTTGCGAGAAAGCCTCATAATCAATGGGTCCATCAATAATGCTGTCTATATTTTGCATGCCTTCCAAAAGGGCTGGTTGAAAACTATCACTATCAGAAGGCAAGAGTTTGTAAATTACTAGCAATCCAAGTGTAAATATGGCTTGCAGCTTTGTGGAGTCTCCTTTGACAGAAAAGAATAAAAGCATTGAAAGGAGGAATAAGTCAACACAGAACCGCATGATACACAACACTGTATCCATCAGCCTTCCATCATTGCCAGCAGGAAATCCCCGGACTCTATAGACAAAAAGAAAGTTGTACTTATCAACCACATACCTATATCCAAAATAAACTGCACCCACTGGCACCACAATTGGAGCAAATGAAGAATATATCATGGTCAGGGCAAATATTGTCAAATTAAATGCATAGTACTGCGCAAAATCAAATGTCTGCTTGGGTATAGGCGAGGTTCGGCTGATTGGATATACAGAAAGATCTTGTCCCTGAATGTCAATTTCACCCATCCTAGGAGAGTCAAACACACTTTCAGGCATCAGTGGTCTCTGAAGACTATTCAGGTCCTGATTTTCTAAAGGGTACTCCTCACTTTTTTCTGGGACCAACTGGAGCATGTCATTCTTCTGAAACTTCCGAAGCTTCTTCTTTATCCAAGGAATTGGAGCCAGAAGATCATATGATATTCCCAAGAATGTACTTGTGATTAGAAATGCAAGAGAAGAAAGGCAAGATCTTGACAAGAATGATGCACTCATGTATTGCTCAATCCTCTTGCAGTCTTCTCCATCCAAATAGCACCGACCCATCCGAAGGATTGCACTCTCTAATGATGACTCAACGAGAGCCCTCAGAAGGATCAAATTGACAAGGAAGAAGCAAACCATCTTTAGCAAAGCTGCTCTCTGCTCACTGGATACTGTGAGATGCCGTTCAAACTTGGAAAGATACGAAAGAGCTGATGGGACCACTATATACATGCTAACAAATATAATGACGTTGGGCAAAAATTGAAAGATTAGGGATGCAAGCCAACTTGAACTTTGTACCCAAGTCAACCATGACTGTGCATTGTCAATTGCTTCTGCGTTAATAATCCGTGCAGCACTCTGCACAGCAATGATTACTGCAAGTGGAGAACTGAAGAACAAAAGCATTAACAACAAACACGTGTTCACAAACACTCTTCGCAGTTTCAGTGATAATTTTGTTGATCCCAAATGGTTCCAGTAAATATCAGTTGCCAATGGGGCTCGTTCAACTTTCCATTGGTTCCTCTGCAACTGTAATTCCATCATAGAAAAGAACTTCCCAAACCGCCTCTTTTTCTCATTCCGAAAATCTTGAACAGCTTTATTTGCAGTATATACATCCTTAAACATCACGAAAGCAACCCCAGCACCCTGAGCACGTCCTTCTTTATAAGCTGCTAATTCAGTCTCTAATTCAGCTCTCCATTCTTGCAACTTCCTTAATTTCTCTTCATCTGTAAACCCAAATCTATCCATAATCTGATTCAAAACACGTTGCACTTTCCTCCCCAACCATCGGCCCCAACCCAAAAGCCCTTCAGCTCCATTCCTATCATCTTCATCTTCTTCCGGTAATAGTCGAGAATCAATTTTTGCTACCAACCAGGTAATTTCATCCCTAACCTTAACTAATTCAGTGGCTAAATCATCCAATGCACATAAATCCATAGGCAGAATAACCCTATAAACTTTCCCTGGATATTTATACTGAAAATACTGGAGCAAAACACTTCTGTCAACCCCTAAACTCTTAGGCAAACCATGAACCATAATTGTGAAAATCGCAGTCGAATTCGCGTTGGGGTCACTTAAATTTCCATTCCCATCTCTAAACCTAGTAATTTTCAATCTTTCTTCAATAGCAGACATTCCATAATGGACAACAATGACAACAAAAACCACGAAAATAAAATGTACCCAAAGTAACCCTGAACCTTTACTAATATGACTTACTGTGGTTTTCGAGAACTGATCGTCTAATAAAGCTGTGCCGCCGTAAAGATTTACTGGGAGTAAGACAAAAACAGCCAAAAAAGCGACCGATAAGAGGACAGCGAAGCTACCGCCTTCAATTAAGAGGAATTGGGAAGCGTCAGCTCCGCAGTGACGCGCAATCTCGCGGCCGGTGGCGTGCCAAACGGCAAGGAGCTTAGCGAACAGGGCGGATGGTCCGGGGATACGACGGTGGTCGCTGCGGAGCTTGAGGAAGAGGAAGATGAGGATGCAACAGAGAAGACCGATGGTTGAGATGTTGAGCAGGTATTGGATGTTGCCATACCAAGCGCCGTCGATCACGTCGTCACCGTCGAAGGAGGGCGACGGCGGAGGAGGATAAGTTTCTTTCATTGGAAATTCCTTGGAAGGAGAAATTAGGGTTTGGGTGATTGGATTTTGGCGTTTCGATTCATGGAGGGCTAGTAGGAAACAGGAAGGAGATTTTTAGCGTTTTCCCTTTTGTTTTTTGGAAAAACAATCGAGAATCGAAAGAGAAAGAAAATGTTACATAATTATGGATTTCCCCACAAATGATAGAGTTCATTGCAATTTTACCCCTGTTATTTTTTATCATTGGATAGCTGTCATTTGGGTTTAATCATTCATATATATATATATATATATATATATATATGCACATATATATCTATATATTATATCACAACATACATAATTACTAAATAATAATTACTGACATAAATACTTATATGAATAATTTTTTTTGATATGTAAGATGAATTTTAAAATTTATTGACACATAAAATGTTTATATATTTAAAATATTATTAAATTATTTAAAATTTTAAAATTTAATAAAAAATCAATTTAAATTTTAATAAAATTCTTTTATTTTATACATAACTTTATCTTAATTTAGAATTAATTTTAAAATAATTAATTTTTTTTAATTTATCTACAATTAATATAAATATTTAATTACTATAACAAAGTTAAATTAAACTATAAAAATAGATCAGCTTTGATACATAGATTTGCTTGATAAATATATATATATTTATATATATATGATTTGTATAATATATAGCTGGAAAAAAAAAAAAAGGAAACACTAGGCAACCATTGTATGAATGACTGTTTTACCATATATCCATTTAGTTATCCTCTAACGATTGTATCATGATTGCAACCCCCATTTCATGATGTTTCCTGCATCATTGAAATTGTTGCTTAAGTTACTATGTGGTAAATAGAATTTACAGAACAATATTACGTAAGACAAATTTTTTTATCATAAAAAAATGTTTAAAGAAGAAAAGATAAGTGTGAGTATTTTAATTTATTAATTTTAAATGGTTGTATGTGATAATAATTAATCTAATATCAGATAAAGGTATCAAGATATAAAATATCAAAAAAATATCAGATAAAAATATAAAATATTAAAATTTAAATATTATTATCTGATTAAATATAATTTATAGATAAATTTATTACTTGAATAAAATTTATTTATTATATGCTTGATTCTCTGCAGCTTTTTCATTCAATTTATTTTCCAAATAATATTTCATTTTCTCACAGATTTTAACATTATTCTTTTATTGTTCTTCCATTTTAGGTGAATTTATTTTTTTTTCTCATAGGCTTTCATATTACTCTTGTGTTTCTTATATTCTAAATCAACTAACATTTACTGTTTACTTGACAATTCTAGCAAAACGACGTTGCAATTTTGAGACTATAATTACAGAAATTGCAGAAAAATCATCGTTACATATTTTTCTTTGAGATTAAAATTCCGTTATGTCTTTTGAAAGATGTTTCTTATGAAAAACAACAGTAAGTCCCACACAACTGAATCCTCTCTGCATCATATCCATGCTCATGAGTTCAGCTTTTGGGGTCTTAACTGGTACTTGACGGGGCATATCAGAACCCACATTGTTTAATACTTAATTCTCTTTTCCATATTGAATGTCTTCTTGTAACAAAAGTGATCAGATTTTATTGTAGCAATTGAATAAGGAATAGATGTGATAGGTTCCTTTAAATTAATAGAAAAAGCACTGGACTTCAAATTTGGCTTATTTGTTAGGGACCCTGAAGATAATAAAATCTAAATGATGGTAACTATCCCGAAAGGAAGCTTTCTGCTTTGTATTTGGGTGGTGCAAATGGCTCACAAAAACCTATACCCAAGTTAGAGATAGTAAAAGATGTAGAAATTTGAAGACTTACCAGATGCTGCTCTGTTTTTCATCTAGTATCCCCAGCAATAGCTGCTGAATAAGATCTGCTCAACCATTGAACATAATTTGAGATTCCAGATCATCTAGCACTCAGTAATATTACCAAACCAAGAGATGACATATTCATTTTGACAAGTAATAGGATACTGAAAGTAAAAATTTTGAACATCAGTCTTGCTTGCACTGCTCTTAGTAAAACCCTACCCCTCCTGTCCCGGATAACAACCCCTAACCTAACCTTTTCAGTTGTAGGGTTGAAATATGCATCCACGTTTAATTTATAATCCATGTTCACTAGCAGCTTCCATGATTCTGTCATCTACCTCCTATCCTCCTCTCCCTGTGGTCCCTGTTGCCCTTCATGCGGGCATTGTTTCAGTCTTACAGCCAAACTCCCAATGGAACTACGTTTGCTTTCATGAAGACAGCTGTATCGATTTTGCCAAAACAACCATGAAGTATAGATTTTTTTTGAGTATAGATTCATTTTGACGAGTAATAGGATACTTTGAAAAATATTTATAATTTTTGAATTGAAAAAGATTTTTTATTTAATGAAATTTTTTTTTTGTTGTTTGGTTGTTTTATGAAAATTTTATTTTTTTCTAATAATATTAATAATATTATTAAAATATTAAAATTTATTTATTATTAATATTTAAAAATAATTATATTTTATTAATAATATTTAATATTAAAAATATTATGTTAATATATAAATTTTAAAATAAAACTATTTATTATTCTTTATATTATTTATTAATAGATTATAATATTATTTATAAGTAAAATTATATTTAAAAATATTAAAAAATAATTCTATTCATAAACATCTATTTTCTAAAAAAATATCTTTTCATTTTTAAATCCGTAAGATAATTTTTTTAAAAATAATCTTATTTTTTATTGACTAATAAATTATTTTTATTATTCTACCAATTTTCTATAAAATAAATATCTAAAAATACAAAAATTATTTTTTAAAATTATTTTTTCCGAAACGAAACCTAAATGAATTTCCATATTCAAATTAATTTTACCCTTCCAAGTTCCACTAACCGAATGAATTAGAAGGTAGGAAATGGTTACTAATCATGGCGTACAGTGATGTGATGGTGTACCAAACATGGTGGATCGTCAAACACATGGTAAACTTCTTAACAGAACTATCTTTAAATTTTTTTTTTTTGGTAAGGAAGTATCTTTCATTGTTTCATATCAGTTGCAAGTTTCAACTTGTCTTTGCCTTTCCAATAAGAGATGGCTACTCAACTGAGAATAATTGTTGTATCCCATCTTCTTCTAAATTCTCCACAAAGATATCATAGTCACATTTTAAACTACTCCAAAATGTTTCATAATCCAAATCCCTCATATCTTCCTCCATGTCCCGTTTCCCTGAATGTCGGTAGCTGACCTTTTATTTTTTCATAGACAGCTGAGTTGAGTAAGGAGTTAAAGCTGGGTTTTTATATTTCAAAAATAAAAAACCATTGGAAGGTTTACCCCTTGATCGCAAATTTCAGCCTATCTATTTTAAAATATATTTCAAAATAAAAAAAACCATTGGAAGGAGATAAGCGTGTGTTCTCCAAATCTTTAGTTAGCCTTTTTGTTTCCTCAATCTTTGGTTTTATATCCTTTTTGACATTGGCATTGCATCTTGGCATCTGAAGTGAGTTACAAGATGATCATTAACAATCCCTGGCACTTGCATGAATGAATAAACAACAGTAGGTCCCACACAACGAAATCCTTTTTGCATCATATCTTTGCTCATGAGTTCAGCTTTTGGGGTCTTAACTGGTACTTGACGGGCATATCGGAACCCATTTTTTAAATGGCTTATGGTTAACAAATCCCCAGCAATAGCTGTTGAACCTGCAAATTTTAACAAACTTTCATATTCAATTTTTTTACATATTGTGGAGTTCAGACACAAACTAATTTACCTTATGTACTTTGATACTCCCCTTTTAACTTCTCCTTTCATCTTACTGCATTCTGCCACCCCAACTTCTGTAGCCTTAAGAACAAAACATTTTATTACTTACCAACTAATTTACCTTTTACAGAGTCCACAGAACCATCAAAAGTGTTCTTTTCAGACAAAGGCAGTTCCTAACAATAAAAACTGACATCTCACTTTTTTCATTATCTAAATTGTTCCACTAAAAATTTCTCTGATCATAGTAAAAACTAAAGTGTAAGAAGTTCTTATCATTTCTAACCAAAGAAGTTCTTATCTTATATATTTAATTAATGTTCTTAATAATTAAGTTTTTCTTTTATCTTATTTTTATTCATGAATAAATCTTTTATAAATAATACTATAAAAGAAGTTCTTATCATGTGATCTTTTGTGCTTGCAATTAACTAAAATTATAGGCATGCCATAAATCAATAAACCATTTTTTTGTCAGTGCATTACAGAAAATCATGACAGTTGTCATTAAGACTCCCATCGTTATGAGAACTGAAGCACATTTTTTGAAAGCCATAAGATTGATGAAGGAATTATCACAATATCAAATGGATTTGAATGATAATGATATTGTGAAGCATATTATCAAGGTTAATCGCATGATTCAGAAATTGATATGGTCTAGATGTATGCTCATTAGAAAAGATGAGAAGAAATATCAATTGTTGAAAGATACACTTTTAACCCCTATACAAAAAAATCTTTTACATGAGATTTGGACGAGGCATCCCAAATATAAAACATTGATTAAGAAATTTATGAAAGATTATGTGAAAATGGGAGTAAGAAGGATTGCAACCCTTTTTGTCTGCTCAAGCCTTCGTAATGGAAAAAACAAAATTCTTGGATATCCATGGATACGAAATGTAAATGTAAAACTATCAAAGGAATATTTAGACTCTATTCCTATTATTAGAAAAGTAATATGTACTAATTAGGAACAAAGCTTAATGAATATTTAGTATGATTTATTATGAAATTTGTTTATGGATTCAGTATTGATATACTATGTTTCAAACATATGTATGATAAGTTTTGATTATTTTTTATTTCTCAAGTATTGTTTATTTTATTTTTTGAATTTTATCAAATATGATATATCTTTTTCCTTCTAAACTTATTTTCTAATTATTTAGATAATATCCTTTTAAATTTTAAAATATCAATTGTAGTTTTATCTTAATATATTTCATAATTTGTTTTTAAGTTTAAGTTTTAATATATACTATATTTTACAAAATGTAAAGTTAGAGTAATAATATTGTTATATTTTGTAGTTCTGTACATAAACCTTTCATTTTTGTCTTTGACATTGACTTAATCAGGAAATATTTTTTCTCTCAATTAATCTTTAACTTTTATTTTTTTTTAATCATT